CAGTTTCGCCCGCGGGAATCAGAATATAAAGTATACTACGCTCTAAGTCAGTGACTATTATATAAACTGTTAACTGTTCAGTGCTGAACATACGCCTCCCCCATAAGGTTGGCAACCGCAGTTAGGCTTTGGTATGTTTTAAGGTGGGATGCTGTTGCCCATCACTCGATTAAGTTCCCTTAGTCGCCTCTTGCGACACCCATTGGAGAAAAAATCATCTTTCTCATTCTTTGTTAGGATTACAAGACGTTTTGATTGATTACGGAGGACTATTGGATTTTTAAGAGGCGGAAATTAAAGCGGATTATGGAAATTATGAAAAAATTAGCTTTCCAGCAAGCAATATTATGCTCTGCAAAAAAAAAAAAAAAACTACTTCAAGCGATTGTAAAAAAGTATTAACAAAAACGATGAACAAAATAATTTAGAATTTGTTTAGATAAACAAAAACACAGGCTTCAATAGTAGCAAAATTTGTAAATTTGATTTAAAAATTAAACTATGAACCGACTTTAATAAAACTTCTAGGGGTCAATCGGAAAATCTGTTCAGATAAAAAAAAAATAATTTTCCAAATCGGTTTATTAATGACGGAGCTATAAAAATACAAACTTAATAAAAAATACTACCGAATAGAACATTTTCTTTTTTTGAAATAATTTAAAAATACAATTCAATTGAGACAAATATCGGGCCAAGTAAAAAGCATCGTTGCCAACGTTTACTTATCACGTCACGTATGTGGGTTAGGTAGATATATGCGACAGTTTATGCGAGGAAAAACCCGTTTGCAAAAACCGGAGGCTTTCAAATACTGAGAAATAAGATGAAAGCAGTCGAGGTTCAGTCAAATGTGTTTGCCAACTTCTTTATCATAGTGTTCTATCATTTGGATTCAAGTTATTTAATATAATTTATACAAAGTGAAATCAAAATTCGCTATTTGGTTCCGGCATAGAACAGAGGGCCTACCATGAAATGTTTTCCGAAATTTCGGATCCGAACGAAACACAAATTTGATGTTAAAATTACATGATACGTACGTACGTTTAAAATTATTAAAAATATCGTTCATTTGGACTTTTATGGTAGGATTTATGATAAATGAAATCTTAAGCTCCATTTATAGGGCCGATTTTGGTACGAACAAAAACACGAATTTGAGCCTGAAAATTCGGAATTTCATTTCATGGTAGACCCCCAGGCCACCCACATAGGCCACACCCGTGGGTGTATTGTCGAGGGATGGGCAGCAGCGTCCCTCTTTAAACACCACCAAAGCCCAATCCGTCTACCAAACGTCGCCCCTTATGGAGAAGCCCTTTGTTCAGCAGTGGACAGATAATGGTTAATTAATATGATATATAATAATTTTGAAATCAAAATCATTATATATAATTTTATATATTACGTATAAGTGCCGCATCATCACACAAATCGCTTAGTCCTCAAGCTTGGATACCCTGTGCTGTGAAGAACCAGCCGACGAACATTGGAGGACACAACCCATTAGCGATCTACTAGCGAAACTGAACATTATTCCCAAGGGTTTCACTTTTCAATCGACTTCAAAAAGAAGGAGATTCTCAATTCGGTCGTATTTCATTTTTTTTTTATCTGTTACTACATAAATCCGTTAATTTAGAATCGATTTAAATTGTACGCCACTCGATCAAAATTGTACAAGTAATTTTTATTTCCAATCCTTCAATGTTCAACATGACATGTTCATAAGTGGCATTATTTTTTGTGAAATATAATAAATTCCAACTATCTACACATTTTATGATTACTTTAGGTTGTTCTAGATGGAAGTATTGATTTTTATATTTATATTACACGTTTTAATTTTTAATCTGCGATCGACTATTCGAAAATCAAATGTGCGTTGTCTATGACAGAAATATAATCAGTTGACATGCAAATATGATAGATCGGTAATAAAGATTAGAAACAAAGTGATTAGTAGTCTATGCGGGCGACATTTCAAATTGTCGTTACATTATGGTTACACTAATCTGTGGTTAGGAACAAAGAATACCATGGAGTGGTATGTTGTAAAAAACAATATAGTCTCCCATACTAACATAACAGCTGGATGTAACATGTAATAAAATATCTCGTTCAGTATGTTTAAAAAAAAGTCACATAAGAAATAAAATTGGTAACTAAATTAATTCTTAATCATTGACAAATATCAATCAAACCTATTGTTTGTAATCCTTAAACTATAATTAAATAGCCAACATAAAATTTGATAACAAATATCGATAGAGCAATATTGTGTTATATGCAATCAAATCGGTTAAGACGTTTCTAAAATTAGCGTGCACAATACAATGATTTTTAGAATTTTTGTCTGTAACCCCCAGTACAGACAGCGACCAGTTACATTAAACTATTAAACATTTAAAAATACAATATTGTCCACTAATACCTTCTCTATGCCATTCTTTGTTCTACAAGTCAGTGACGGCTCGTCAAAGGTCGCGGAGCCGCGCGTCGCATACTAAATAGGCACGGTGTACAAATAACAACAAAAGTAACTGCACATTTCATTAGATGTGCAGTTACTTTTGTTGTAACACAATTTAAAAATGTACAAGGACCTTTGTTGCTAACCGTACAGACCGCGACCACAGACGTGGTGATATAATAATTTGAATACCTGTGACACAGTGACACGTTTCCACACTGTCTCAGAGGAAGAATTTTAATAAATTCCGTTTTATCAAGGAACGTAAATTTTTATAAGGGTAAGAATGGAATGGCAATCTTGGTTACGCTTTAGATACACGCTGGCGGGGCATCAGTGAGAACTAATAGATGAGTAAGAAACCTAGTCAGTTGGCCATTAAATGGCCAATTCAATTAAACATGCAGGTGGATATAGCACACACGAAAAGGGATTATTAGAAATGTAGACTAAGAATCTCATTGCTAGCAATATACCCAACCAGGTCGACCTTCTCGCGGTTCTCCCTGGAAATTATCACGGTTAATTCCTGATGAATTCACCATGATAGGCTAACTGACCTGTTTTTTTTATTCTCATCTATCACTCTTCACAAGTGCTCCGCCAGCGTATCCCGTTAGCGCAGGCGGAGTTACCATACCATTTCCACCCATCAAAAAAACACACATGACTCCCCCATCCCCCGGCCCACTTCAATACGCCTATAAGTAAACGTCTCTTGCGGATTCTTCTCAGCAGATAACAACTAGATATGGGTAATGTCGGCACGGCTCCGATATTTGTAAATTGGGTTTCTCTGAACATCGATGATGGAAAAAAGCCATCATATTGAGCAACTGATATATAGGGCCAATATATATATTGTAACTACAATATACAGAAAGATATTGGTGGGAAAGGGATTGTTAATAATGCTAGCATACAATTTTCACCCATTAAAAAAAAATACATAATAACATAGGAATGTTATTATGTATTTGGTTAGGAAACCAATCTTTAGAATCTTAAAAAATATTATTTAAAACAGCTTCTAAACAAATCTATTTGAATAAAGAATTATTGTATTGTTTTAACGTTTATTAAGAAGCGCATGACGCTATTCAACGAGGAAACTTTAAAACATTTTATTAAACGATTTCTTAGTAATATCGCGGTTAAAATGATGCAACTCCGCCGCTAATATTATACGTACATGGACATAACATTAAACATATTCGTGCGGAACAACGCATTGTACCAAATACCATGTAAACCACAATATTGCCATACAAAAACCATTGTACCAATCATAGAAAGCCGGTCGGTTATTGCAAATCATAATAAAAATAAATAATAATAATAACCAATATAATAATAATAATAATAAAATAATAATTATAAACATGAGATTTACTGAAATTATAATCGTAGTTACTGTAAAACAAATTAAAGATGCAAATTTACTAAATTATTGGACACTCATATTTTTTACTTGATCATAGGAGAAGGTGCCTGATTGGACTATTTTTATTACATGATATCATTTATTTATTAATTATTAATGAACTACGGGAAAAGGTTTAAAGTAAAAAACAAATAGATTAGGATAAAAAAAAAAAAATTCAAAAGGCGAGATAAATTAGCCAAGGTTGCCTGGAAGAGATCGCTCTTAGCGATAAGGTCGCCCATTGTTTTCTCATTGTGATTATTTCATGTAATTATTTATATTTATAATAAGTTTACTATTGTAATCTTTTGGAGGAAACAATAAAGAGTATCTATCTATCTTTCTAAAGTAGTTCTCACCCTCTCGTTCAGTACAACAATATACATAGTAATATATAAATGTAGAGTTATCATAATCTAGTTGCAAAAGATTTGATCAAAACCTATCATCAACATAAATAATTATACATTAATTAATATTATATTAATTTTATTTTTATTTATTAGATAATTCAAAATAAAAATTAAATACAGTTTATCATTTTGATAGGCATAAAATGTAGTGTGAGACTAACGCCTAAATAAAAATTCTAGGCAAATACACGGTACATCAAGTACATAGATTCGTTAGAAATCAACGATAAGACGAAATAATTCATTCTAATATAAAATAAATAAGTAATATTATATTTTAAAATAGTATATAATGTATTATTAAATATAAATAACATTTACCGTTACACCATGCAAAAAACAAAGTTAAAAACGGTTTTATGAATAAGTTTCAATGATTATCAACATCTTAAATTTATATATATCAAAATATATAAATTTAATAACTATATATATAATATATGTGTGTATGTTAGCACTAACGATATGACGTTAAAAAAAATTAGTCACTAAGTTATGTAAATAAAATAAATTTCACTTACCCTTCTTCGAAAATAGATTACATGTTTTTTTTTTAAATAAATTTTCACTTTTTTTCTTTAAAAAAAGAAACTTTCAATTTAATTCTGTTCGTTTTAAATGAAAACAAAAAACCGCTGAAATAAACGTAAATAATAATAATAAACTTAAACATCTAGGTACTTACCAGTTCAGCAACAATTTCTTTCTTCAACTCATTGACCGTTGGTTTTGTAGATGCGTTTGTTTTGGACTGTAATATAAGTTTTATTATTAGATCTACTATATAGTTTTACTTAGTAGATTATTTGTATGGAATTTGATAATCCTATTTAGTTAAATTTGTAAACTACAATCTACTAATTCAAAGTGGGTTTTCATTTGCATATTTTAAAGCAAAAATTATTAATTTTTATGGAATTTATTTATTATTATATCATGATAGAAAATGTACATGTATATAAATTTTGTGATGAAAAAAATCTAATAACAATTTAGAGAGATATATAGGCATACTATAGGAATAGTAGATAATGTATCAACCAGCACAGTTTTTGGGAAAATATCCAAAAACCTCCAAATACAAACTCAGCCAGAAGGTATTAAAATAAACTTTAAAAACCTATTTACAGACTTTATTAACGGAACACTCAATACGAGTCCAGTTTTCACTTGACCCAATTTCTTTTAAACCACTGAGGTGGTAAACAAGCATATGCGTTTCGCTTGATGGTAAGCGGTTAGCCTAAGTTATGAACGCCTGCAATATCAAGGGCATTACGCGCTCATTATGAATACTGAAGATACCTCTTTACCCCTTTTTGAAGAACTCCAAGCTAGTCTCTGGGAATAACCTCGACAGGGAGCTCATTTCATAACCTGAGCATTTGTGAGAGGAAACAACTCTGACATCGCGCTGTACGGCACTATCCAGGCTCTAAGATATGGCAGTGAACTCCTTGTCAATGACCAGCTTTACGATAGATAGTAGAAAGTGGTCGAAGGCATTATATTGAACAATTCCTCAGCACAGTCTGTTGTACAAATGGTAGAATATACAGAGTGCAGCAAAATCTCTCCTAAGACTTTTTTACGAATTTAATACACAGATTGTAAGCTTGGTATTTATTATTTTTAATGAAATTATCAAAAAAAGATATTAATTCATATTAAACTCTAACCTGATTAGTTTTTGCAGTGTTTGTCTGTAACACTTTATTGATATCCTTAATGGAATGTATTGAGACATCAAGCGTGGAGGACTCTGACTGTTCCTTCTTTGTTTCAGGTTTCGCGCCATACCTTCTTTCTGGTTGCTTCTTTGTTGGTTCTGGTTGCTATAAAACATTTCAATTTGGTCAACTAAAATATTGAAGAAAACATATTGAAAACGTGAGATTGAAATTTTTAGCAAAAACCCTGTAAGGTCTCTATCATCATATAGCTGTGCTAGCATTAACATAGCTATGGGTCAGTTAGAAGGGTAGGGTATGGTAGTAAAATTACAGGATACAAAGGCATAATATTTCCAACCGACTTCAAAATCAATTTGGTTATTTTTTTATGTTTGTAACATCATAATTCTGTCAGTTCTAAACCAATTTAGAAAAAGAAAATTCTTATTTATCTAAAAGAATATACTAACAGATTGGAAATTTTATCAAAATCGCTTCAGTAGTTTAATTTATAGAAGAAAATATATTTTTTTTTTTTACAATTGAAGTTTTTTTTATATATAGCAACAAATGTTGAGTACTATGAACAGCACAGGGTATTCTATGATACCCATAACTCTCCATCAGGTGGGCCTTTAGTTGGTCACTCCAAGTTTTCAATAATAAAAAAAATTGCATCTCACAAAAAAAAAAAACAAATTCAATTGCGACCAAACCAGTTATTTTGATTAATAAATTAAATTACTGAATCGACTTTGATAGAATTTATACAGTACCAAATTGTAAGTAAATCCTTTAAGATAAAAAAAAGAATTTTCCAAATTGCTTTAGAACTGATGGAATTATGAGGTAATAAATATAAAAAATATAATCTAATTGAGAACCTCTTTCTTTTTAAGTTGGTTGAAAATAATTAAAAAGTTACAACTTACAAAATTGTGGTGCGTGAGATCGTCTTCCCAATTGTTGATCTGATCAGCAAGTGCTGCTAGACGTCCGAATTTCCTTTTGCTCTCGGGTCTGGTCTCCTTGACTTCACAAGTGGAGGCAGGTGGGGTACCCGACGTAAACTCTTGCTCGGTGCGGTGAATCGGTGATGAGAGATTTGGTTTGTCTGAAAAATATAATTTACAATGCCTTACTTAATACATAATTTACAAAATTCTATTTTAAATTTGAATGAAAGATGAAAATAAATGGGCCTCTCCTTCCTTTCTCATGGGTGTCGTAAAAGACGACTAAGGGAGCTTAACAGCAAAATCCCTCTTAAAACATCACTACAGTATATCTACAGTTGCTAACCTGCCTGCCAAGCATGGTAACTACCAGCCAAACCTCCCAATACGGGTTCAGTAGTGGATGGTTGATGGATTATATGGTATGCAATATCTTAGCCAGGGGGGAAAGGAATTGTTAGCAATGGAGTTTGACAGCCCCATTGCTAGCAATATACCCAACCAGGTCAACCTCTACGTGGTTCCCCCTGGAAACAATCGTAAACAATTTTTGTTGAATTTGTCACTGATCTGCTTCATCCTCACCTATCATCCTTCACTGGTGCCCTACCGGTGTATACCGATAGCGCGTGTGGGGTTACCATTCCATTATCACCCATTAAAAAATATCTTAGCCAATTTTTAAAGGATGTTGGTTATACTTCCTATCAATACTTATAATTTTTTTGTTATATCTATTTACATATCTATTATAGAACCTACCTGAGTAAAGATTGCCCAGCCTGTCGAGTCTGGACTTAATATTATGTCGTAGCCCTCCTCGCTCTTTGTTGTCACCTGCGTCAATTTGCTTCTCCATCTCTTTGGATGTGTCATCTGAAATTCATAAGGATTACAAAATGACAACCATTTAATTTGAGACCAGACATATGAATCACTGCCATTTTATACTATAAAAAATAAATTTAAAGCTTTAAATCATATTTAAATTAAATCATGCATATATTTTTTTTAATAAATGATAATGGAGTTATAGGTCTATGCTGGCTGGGCATTAGTAAGGAATGGTAGGTGAGGGTGAAATCTGATCAGTTGACCCATTGTGAAAAATTAAACATAATTGATGAATTTATCAGTCTTAGGAGAATCACAAAAAGATCGACCTGACAGAGTTCTATTGCTAGCAATGGTATCATACCTTTTATCATTGTGGTATTAGTATCACAATCACCAGTAAAATATACATTGACAATCACAAATAGCACAAAGTCAAGAGTTCAACAGCATTGTCAAAGTATACTATAACATTTTATTATTTCAGAGAAGTGATTTATTATTTGTAATGTTGTTTTGCGAAGACTTCATAATTAATTAGGAGAACTGTAATCTAATAGTGCAATTAGTCATGGTCCAAACTAACATTGTTTGCTTTGTTGAAAATTAAGCATAATTTATTTATATTTATTTTGGTTAAATGGTAATTAGGAAATGTGTTTGCTTTTCATTATTGATAACAATCACTTACATACAGGGGTAGGAATGAGGAGAATGTTAGAGGCCGTCCATATATTATAATATTATTTAACTGTATATTTGTTTATGTATTAATAGTTGTAGCACTTCAGATGCCCGCTAACGAAATGCTTTCTTACTGTACTGGGTTGACTGGACGTGATCTCTGTCAGAGATAAGTCCACCCTTGCTAACAACATTTGTAAATACATTATTTTATATGTAACTTACAAGTGCAATAAAGAATATATATAAATTTGTTACGATGGGCTAACTGATCTGCCTTTTCATCCTCAAAGATCATTCTTTACCGGTGCCACTAGTGCAGGTAGTGCAGGTGGAGATACCAATCCATTATCATTCATTGAAAAATAACATTTAATATATACCCAATCAGGTCAACATCTACTCAATCCTCTATGAAAACCATCATTTTTGGTGCATTTGTTATGGCAGACCACCTAACCTGCTTTCATACTCACCTATCATCCTTTATTGGTACCCAGTATATTCAGATAGTACAGGCAGTTAACATTTCATGAGCACTCATTAAAAAATGCATCATGTGGATATCTTAGACATAGTAGTAACAATGAAAAAAAATATATATAATGCTTCAATAACTTACCTTCAATTTCTTTTATAACCACATTACTGCCACCTTCAGTCTCAGGGTTGTACAATATACTGATCGGTGCATCTCTCTCTTCAACTTGAACCTCTATCTGTATATCATTTCTATGTCCAATGTTGATCTCCACTGAAACGTCAGAGTTACGCCGTGTAATACTACTTCTGGGGCTCCTAAACTCCTTTTTAGTCACTACCACGTTGTTTCGAAGTTTCTGGGGAGTAGCTACAGCTGACTGGTCCTTCAAATTTGTTCTTTTTGCCTTTGCAGGCGATTCTGTCGATTTTCTTGGTGATACTATAGACTCTTTAGTGATTTTCGCCGGTGATTTTGCAGGGGAGTTGTTCTTTTTTAATAGATCAACGTTTTCAGATAAAGGCTTACGTATCGGAACAACTTGTCCAGAACTAGCAAGTTTCTTATCTATTTTCTCTTGTCTGGCTCTTGCTCGCTCCAACATACGCTGAAAATAAGATTAAATTGTGATTTGAATTTGTTTTTTTTCAAAATCTGTTTATGTTGATAGGAGTGTTCTTTGAAAACTTACCTGAGTAAAGGGATCCATATTCAAAATTAAAATAACACACTGTAAACACACAAGTTACACTAATAACATAATTTTCGATGAAAATCTAATTTTAATATACACGGTAATTACCAAAATATTAATTATTAGGCGTTCAAACAAATTAAACACCCGTTAATACTAAAAGTTTGACAAGAAACCGAAATTTTTAAATTGTAGTTCATTCAAGAACCAGCAGGTGGCGGATGACTTTCGTTCTGAAACATAATATTTAGAATTATTTAAAAGGAAAAGTTTAATTATTATGTTTTATCAACTACGACGGCTGATACTTTTATTTAATAAAAATGTAATTAATTAAATCTGATTTCGATACATATCAAGGATCACAGGTACTATCCTATATGTTTGTAATAGCTTGATACTCTACAGTATTTAGGTATTTGGCGCCGTTTTGTATTCAGTATTAGAAAGACAAAGGTATATAGTAATAATAATTTTAATTTTATAATATGAATATTTAATTTAATTATTTCATAAATATAACAAATAACGATATATTATATTTTCTTTATCTATATTATATGGTATAAGTTACCTCTATACGGAATATTCACTTGCTTCGTAACAAATATTATAAAACACCTAATACATTAGTTTATCTTTTTAACGCTAGATGGCGGAATGCATAATTGTTTATCTATTTGTCACTAGATGTCCAAAGTTTATAAGATAAAAGTAAATGCAATCTTTATTTTATACTTGAATATTTTAATGTTATTTTAAAATTCAACGAAATTTGACATGCAAAGAGGCCCATACTCCTACTCATAAGTTACTATTAGTTCTTTATAAATTAAGAGATAATTATTTCATCCGTAATTTATTCAAATCTTCATAGATGTTGTTAAGTACCAAGCGTTTTTTTTTAATGAGTGATTATGATATGGTAAGCCCGTCTGCGTCTGTCGGTATATACTGGCGGGGCACCAGTGGTGGATGACAGATGAAGATGAAAGTAGGTCAGTTAGCCCATCCTAACGAATTAAACTAGAATTAGTCACGATGGTTTCCAAGGGGAACCACGTGGAGGTCGACCTGACAGGGTATATTGCTAGTAATAGGGCTATTTGACCCCATTACTAACAATCCCTTTCCCCTACATTTCTACTCAGGTGAAATAATTCTTCTATTGTTTCCTGTTTTTTTTTTATATTTAAATCTAGTTATTTTTTTTTTCGAATCTAATGGACAACGTTATAATTTACATGTAGTAAATAATTTATGTCAAAACTACATAATAAACTAAATTAATCATGTTACTAATTTGAACAAATGACATGTTATGAACAGTATAAAGCTTACTTTCGTACGTAAATCATATGTCAGTTACATTTTTCAATCAACTACAAAAAGAAAGAAGTTTTCAAGTCGATGGTATTTTTATACCTTCGCCAATTCTCAACCTATTTTGCGAAATCGTTTATTGCCATATTGATCCTATACAAATTTTATCAAGATTGAAATCAAAAATAGTTTGTTCTTTTCAACTTTGTTCAAGTCTGCGGGGAATGTGATTATCTGTATATTATTTAATATATTATGTGTGTGTGTATTGTGTATGTAAATTTACTAACATTAGTTTTAAGAATATTGTTACTAATAAATGGACCAAAAAGTCTGAAAAAAAATATTATTATTATGTGGTACGTTTATTACCTACTATGTGTTCTTACATGTGTTCTTAAATGTGGTTAACAATTGGCTAAAATCATCCTTTATAAATAATAATGTATATAACGTCACCACTTGCATTCATCCGGAGGATGTGATAAAAGCATCGACGATAAGGGGTACAAAATACAACACTACAGCACAATGAAAGGCAAACTCGAAATAAAACCATGCCACTCAAACAATTGGGCAACGTTACTTCATGATAAAGTCATATACAGATAAATATTGTTACGATTTAGAAAATCTATTACACTATCTTCATATCAAGAGCAGATTAAAAGAGCATCTTCTGTCCTCATAAACTTATTATGTCTATGTATGTATATGTACCTATTTTTTTGTATGTAAAGAGATATTTTATGTCTATGTATATAGTATATGTATTATTGTATACAGATATTTTTATTTTGATTTTAATTGTATGAGTTATTTATGTAGTCACAATTTCATTGTTTTAATAGAAACATCAATAATGTTTCCTTCTATTATTGTACGCATACTTCTTCTTTCCACCCACCACCACCCTTTATTTTATATATATTATATGTATATTTTTTTTTGTGTACAATAAAGAATAAATAAATAAATAAATATCTTTACACAAATTTTTATAAAAAACACCCCCCACCCACCACCATCCACCATAAGCATATCCACAATATTGATAGACACGGTATACACAAATGAACCTGACTATTGATGAAATTATCAAAGTTTTTACAAAAAAGATACGTAAGCTTGAATTTATAATATCAGTAAATAATAGTACCTAGTAATTGGTTCGGTACTTTAGAGTCTAAATACGACATTGTGATGTGCAAATAAACACATTTACATGCTGAGTATGAGTCGTATTATACTAGAATTTGTTTTTATTGTTAAATGTTTTTTTTTTATGCAACTTAGAATAAATAGCAAACAAGCTGACGGCCCACCTGATAGAAAATGTTAACTGTCGCCTATAGACATAATACGCTGGTGTAATGTCTATGTAAGTAACTAAATAAAGTATTATTCTTTCTTTCTTTCATTTACTATTGTAATTTTCGTGAATGATTAAACTAATATTTTACAAGTTTATTAATTTATTAGTGTTCGCCCCAAAGCTCTTCCCACGTGGAACTATACACTATTTCTACTTTCCATGAGGTGGGACGTCAGCTTGTTTGCCATTCTAAGTTGCATAAAAAAATGTCTGCTGGAAGAAAAAGGAGCTCGGTAATTGTTAGCGTTAATCTACATGTTGCCCATTATAATCTCATCTTCAAATTAAAACTTTTTTATAACTTTTTTAGTGTATAATAAATATTCCGTAGTTTCATTACAGAATACCCATCCAGTTAGGGGGGAAAGGGATTTTTAGTAATGGAGACTGAGAATCCCATTGCTAGCAATATGTCGACCTCCTCGCGGTTCTCCCTGGAAACTATCATGGTTAATTCCTGATGAATTCATCATGATGGGCTAATTGGCCTGTTTTCATTCTTATCTATCACTCTTCACTGGTGCTCCGCCAGCGTATCCTGTTAGCACAGGCGGGGTTACCATACCATTTTCAAGCATAAAAAAAAATACCCATCCAGTAGTACTTACTTGCCTGTTTGTTTCAATATATCAGTTGTTTACTTCTTATCTCATGTACATTGTTATTTGTCAAGACCTTACTATATGATCTGTTTTGTATTGCGTACATTATATTAAATGGACACTCAACATGGAAAAAACCGTTCTCTTCGTATCTACTTGTGTTTGTTTGTAGTCATATAGTTAATAACAAATTAATTAGTGACGTACTCATGAACCTATATTGGTACACTTAGTACATATTATCAGTTTAAGAAATTTTGAATACCATTTTAGACATTCATATATATATATATTCTTATGGTTCTATAATAAATTGTATTTATTTTTTATTTACACTTTATTTACACCAAGTAAAAAGAGAAATAACAAATACAGTAAATATTAATGAGGAGTGATACAGAAGGCGGCCTTATCGCTAAGCAATCTCTTCCAGACAACCTTTGGGTAGAGGACATTGAGAAAAAGACAAAGGGTAGGTGGCGCACTATTATATAAATATTATCAACATCACAAATCAAATTTTACTTTTTATTTGTTTATTTGTTTCGGTCACTTATCATCAGGTGAACCGCATGCTCGATTGCCCCCTGTGTTGTAAAAAAAAAATTTATAATTCTATAATTTAAGATTCTATAGAAAAAATAACTCGTATATAGAGAGAGAGGGAAGGATATAATTGATTGAGAAATAATAATTAAATTCCAAAATTGTCAGAGAAACCGAACAACACATACCACATAAAAAATTGTCATCCACTTACTCATACTACTTATCTCTGCCCCATATACCACGATTCTGGGAGCTCCTGAATATTTCCTGATCATCACCCGATTGTCATAAAAAAGAATTTCAAGAACAATGCGTAATATTACGAGTTACTGATAACAAACGACTTGTCAATCAACTCGATTCCCTGGTATTACACAGATGAATTGCATCTCTTTGCATCTTTGATTGCATATATCGTGGGAAATATTCAGAGAAATTATTCGGATTAATACCAGCTGTTAAATTCCATCATCGTTCAACTCGACACGAGCAGTTTTATCCCTAACATCTGGATGAGTGGCAGTCCTCCACAGTTTCGCAGTTCATACATTTCAGTAGACATTTTCCACGCATTGACAAAGTATGGTCTACCTACATTCCAGCAGCAGTATTTCCTAATAGGTGTGACAATAAAACCTTCAAAAAAAGAGCATATTCCTTCTTAAAAGACCTGCAACACATCTGTAATTTCTCTGATGCTATGAGCCGCAAGCTTTCTATATTATAAAAATACACATCGGTGCAAGAGTGTGAAATCTCAAAATAATATGAAGCCAGAACACCTTCTGAGGAGCGATTCGCATCAGTATTGATTTGTTAAGTAACTGAATATATTGTAAAAATTTCTGTATTACAAAATTGTTCATCGATAGTATATTCCTTTTTAAAAGGCCGGCAGCACACCTGCAATGCCGCTGGTGTTATGGGTGATCATGGGCGGCGGTAGTCACTTACCATCAGGTGAACCGCATGCTCGTTTGCCCCCTGTGTTGTAAAAAAAAAATATATAATTTAATGATTAATTTTTATACCGTCGAGTGTACCGTTAAACGACCGATTCTAAGTGGTGGTACTTACCTACGACGGTGACCGACTGGTTCTGAGTAATCCACTCAGTTGAGTTGACTCAGTCTCCCGCATCTTAACATTGATAAAAGTTGTGTTGTGTTTATTACAGAGAAAAATAAAATGGGTACGTTATATTTTGAGTATTTATTTATTCTATTCGATCCACTTAATAGCTTTAAATAACAAATTAATAAGTTACAAGGTCAAGTTAGGGATGCATGCATCATACAAGTATGTAAACAATATCTTGCTACATAAATATCTTGTTTATTATTTTATTTAATTATGCATAAACATTGAATACAATTATTTTAATAATAATTACTGATCTAATTAAATTCAAATTACTTCAATTAGATATTATTCGAAAGAAAAAGAAGTAGTCATGCATAGGATCAGAAGAAGAACAAATGCAATTATCTATGTAGTATTTGTGTACTCCAAAGCGAAAAAGACGTAAAATTAATACTGATTTATTTAGTAATATACTATAATAATAATTTAATAAAGTACTTATTTTATTATGTCTAGGTTGTTTGGTTTAGGTCGCTTTTAGCGATAAGGTCGCCCATTGTTTTCTCGTTGTGATTATTACTTGCAATTGTTTATATTTATAATAAGTTTACTATTGTAATCTTTTGGAGGAAATAATAAAGAGAATATCTATCTATTTACATAAAAGTATTTATACTGAATAAAATAATAGTTATATATATTGTCTATAATAAAAGATAATATAAACCTATAGCTTTAGATACATAACTATAACAGTAATAATAGTAATAATTACTGATGTATAATAAATACTAAGTATACTTATAAAAATAATTCAAAGAAGTTTGTTTGAATTGTACTCGTTAACAACAGTGGGATTTGAAAAATTCTTTTTGCCTTTGATAGCTTATCTCTTTTGAGGGAAGTTATAGCATATTCAGCATCACGATACTGCCACGAGCGAAGTCGTAGGATACAGCTAGTTTGAAATAAATTAAAATAAGAACGTTTTCCGTGAAAGTTAATAATAATACTAATAAATAAATAAATGTTCCTGATAGTTCAGAGTTTGAATTCAGGCTTTTTTTTTATACAACTTATAATGGCAAACAAGCTGACGGCCCACCTGATGGAAAGTGGTAACCGTCGCCTATAGACATGAGCAATACCATGGACATAACAGAGTATTCTGTTTCGCCCATGATACCACCCATGCGTTGCCATTCCTGAGGACTCAGGTGTTATTCCTCTGTACCCTGTAAATTCACGCCATATCCCACCCTTCAAACCGAAACACAGCCATGCAAACACAACTGCTTCACGGTAGAAACACGAATGGGACAGAGGTACCCAAGCAATCGACTTTTATACAAAGTCTCCCTCTGGTAAAACTTATGTAGTCCCTCTGGTAGGCTATATATTTTTAGCCAAAGTATCGCTGCGACATACTCGTATTTCTAGTTCAAATATATGTATATACTATATAGGTAACTAAGGAATTTATATAGTTACACTATAGACATATATTAACTGGCAATGTTTTTACCTTGTGTTTTATATGCAAATAGTAATTGAGCAACCGATCACGAATAAGGTCGAGTTAATCGGTTAGCAATGAACCTGTTTCTTGGACGCTGGCTGTTGTCTTTATACCTAAAGTCTATTATGACCTCTGAAGAGACGTTTCAGCCATTTTTTAGACATTAATACGTTACTAGCTATATGCCGACGCTTCACTTGCGTGAATCGATATAAAAGGTGTCCTATGTTCTAATTAGGAATATAATCTATCGATATATCAAATGTCGTTCGAATCTGTTCAGTAATTGTTGCGTGATAGAGTAACAAACTGTTCATATATCTATCTTTACAAACTATCGCGTTTATAATAATATGTAATGTAATAGGATGTCTTTAAATAATAATAAGATATTATTATGGTATAGGTTCGTTTAATTTCCTTCTATAAAGTACAGGTAATATATATATATATATATATATATATATATATATATATATATATATATATATATATATATATATATATATATATATATATATATATATATATATATATATATATATATGTATGGACAGAGATAAACGGTAATTTATATCAAATACGTTGTCACTAGTATATTTTTAATGGATAATAATGGAATGGTATCTCCTGCGCTAACGGTATACGTTGGCGTGGTACCAGTGAGGGATGATAGGTGACAACAAAAGGAAGGTCAGTTGGCTCATCATGATGAGTAAACTAGAGATTAAGCAGGATGGTTTCAATGGGGACCACGTGGAGGTCGACCTGACTGACCTGACTAGCGATATACCCTATATCGCTAGCAATGGATCTGGTAGTCCGTATTAAGAAGTAACAATCCCTCCCCCCTATTAAATATATTAGAAACAAGTAACTTTAAGAGATTTTGTCATGTCTAAATTGATTTTTTTCCTTCCTTAAAAACCTTGTTCGGACTACGACGAAAGTTTAAAAACTTGTCGGATCGAATGATTTATTCATTCTCGACTGAAGCATTTATTAACGACAAGCATTTAATTTTTGTTCTAAGTTCTAAATTTACAGAGCAATAACACCTGAGTCTTCAGGAATGGTAACGATGGGGAGTATCATAGGCGAAATAGTATATTCTGTTATGCTCATGTCTATAGGCGACGGTTACCACTTTTCATCAGGTGGGCCATCAGCTTGTTTGCCATACTAAGTTGCATAAAAAAAACATAAATACCATAGGTATTTTACGCTATAATAACTTAAAACGCTAACTAATAACTTAACATACTAACTTTTACTCGTGACTTCGTTTACGCGACCACAATATATTGACCGATCGAGACACAGAATGGTCTATGTCCTTTTCCATCCTATATAGTAGGTATAGGATATACCACATTTCATAGCGTATATAACAAACTCAATTTTACAGGCTGGAAAGGGATTGTTAGCAATGGAGTTTGACAGCCCCAATGCTAGCAATATGCCTTATTAGGTCGACCTCCACGTGGTTCCCTCTGGAAGCTATCGTGAACAATTCTTGTTGAATTCGTCACGATGGGCTAACTGACCTACTTCATCCTCACCTATCATCCTTCACTGGTGCCCCGCCGGTGTATACCGATAGCGCGGGTGGGGTTACCATTCCATTATCATCAATTAAAAAAAAACTCACTTTTACATTTATATTATTAGTAAAGATTAATTAATATTTTTTTTTTTACAGGTTCATTCACAATTTTGGTGTCAGTCATCGCTGTATTAGTAATTTCAAGTATTGAAGCTGGTAAGATGATTTGAACAATATTAAATTTATTATAAGTATTTTTTGATGGATGAAAATGGTATGGTAACCCCGCCTGCGCTAACGGGATACGCAGGCGGAGTACCTGTGAAAGGTGATAGATGAGAATGAAAACAGGCCATCATGATGAATTCATCAGGAATTAACCATGATAGTTTCCAGAGAGAACCGCGAGGAGGTCGACCTGGTTGGGTATATATTATAAGTATTCATATAAAAAAAAATGGGATAACCCAATTAGAGTTTTAGAGTTACAAAAAACAGTTTATACGCGTTTTTAACCGCCTAGTAACATATGTAGTTGAATATGCCGAAATATTGTTATAATATAGTTGTTATTATCTTTACCTACTTCAAATAATGAAGTACCGCGTTCGTGAATCACTGTTCATCCTAAAGGTTGACTGGTAGAGAATGCTACCAGCATTAGTTCCGCCTTTTTTACCAGATTTTCTGTTGATCAATAAAGTTATTTAAATTAATAAATAATAATATATACTTAAATAACATCTACACATGTGGTTTCATATTTACGGAAAACTAAATAGTCTTTATAGGACAATAAAGTAAATAAATAAAGTTTACTCTGTTTATAACTATTTATTTCAACGTCACTTTAAATACTTCACACACATGTACATTAATGGATACACATTAAAAACACATTAACTTAAAAAGCAATGGAGACCGACCAACACCGAGTCGGACATGCGTTAATAAACAAACAACAAAGTAAACTAATTACTAGAGTTGGGTGGGTAATATATAGTTTGTTATTTTTGTTACAATATCTATATACTTTTTTTTTTTTTATTTATTTAACACTTTATTGCACCAACATAACAGGATTTGTTGAACAATTTTCAATACGTATAGTGTAGTACAAAAGGCGGTCTCATTGCTAAGCAACCTCTTCCAGACAACCTTTGGGTAGAAGGAATTAAAGTATAAATAGGTAGGTGGCGTGTAAAAAAAAATAGATCTGTAAAAAATAATATCGGTGACAGCATAGTCATATACACATACATAAATAAACATATACATCCAAATATATACATATATATACATACACATACATGTGTTAAATGTCTGGTATCCAAAAAAATAATATTGGATAACAGACTTTTAACATATTCAAAAATAGATATCCGACCGATATGGACGATATCGAAATGGGCGCTGAGCTTTTTTTCGTCATCACTGTCCACGAGGAACCCAATATATGTATAGATATTTTATCGGTATCGATATATTACAAACGCTTACTAGTTATAACGTCTGTTCACGCCATATCTCTAAATAATATTAAACAATGCCCCTCTCCTCCTTTGCCTGTTTGTTCGCTTTTTTCTTCTAAAATTGAACATTTTATATAGAAGTTTGTAAGTATAATTTTCACCCATGCAATAGGTATCGATGGGTAATATCCAATATCTATATATTGAGTTCTTCTTGGGCTCATATCAGTCAGATACTCGTATGACTATAGAGTCATTATGAACGAGTTCTTCTTTTGAATATTACGTATTGGATAACCAATATCTAATATATCTGTTATTGGGCTATTATATATCTATAGGTATTGTAACTACGATATATAGATATTGCCACTTATTACCCACCCTTAAAAAGAAGCTGGTAAATAATAAAACTATAGTCTGTCCTTGATAGAATTTAATGAAAAGGTAACCAAGTTATGTTGGATTATTTTTAAATGAAATTAGCAACGAATCGAAACATACGATCAATTTATCGATGTTTATTATTTAGTTAATTTTGGACATCAGTTAACTATGTTATGGTCAGGTTAATTATTTCCTTAGACGTTCCATTTAAACAAACTATAAGTATAAACTGATGTAAGTATTCCACTTGTGATTTTCTTTTCCCCTATTTTTGGCGCCTGAATACATTTTTCAAACTATTTCAATTTTCATTTCAACTATCTAAACTATTTGAAGTATTATCTTTCCTAATTTTATTTTTAATTGTAATGTATAATCTCAAAAAATACGTAAAGAATTTAAAAAAAAAACACCTATATTAGCGAGTACTATACTCTGTATATAAAAAAAAAAAAAACAGTGCAAAACCGGGCTGTTGTTAGTATTTTTTTTTTTTATAAATTGATCTTTCTTCGAGAGCAATAAATAAAGAGTTTTTATTCATTCACTATTTTCAGCTGGCAACTGCCCTCTGCCATCCAAGGTATACAGCTGCAGCCCGAAGTGCGTTCAGGACTATGAGTGTACCAACGGCAAGGTTTGCTGTCCCAACTCGTGCAACGCCAAGTCCTGTTCCGAGCCCGCCGCCAACGGTAGCGGTACTGGCTCCAGTAGCAAATATTGTAAGTATAAAACTGCCTTTTGGCCACAGCGGAATATCAGTGTTTTGCTCTTTTGAGGACAAAGCAATAAACTGTGTTGTGATCATTTTGTGTTACTATGGCACACTCACGTTCAAAATTATAGATAGATAGATACTCTTTATTGTTTCCTCCAAAAGATTACAATAGTAAATTTATTATAAATATAAACAATTGCAAGAAATAATCACAATGAGAAAACAATGGGCGACCTTATTTATCGCTTACTTCTTTTGTGTATTTCCTTTTTTTATTGTATATATATTCTTATATTTCATTTTTTGCGTATGTATTTAGGTATATCTGTTGGTATTTGGGTACTTTAAGTAATTAAAATAAATTATATATCTATCTATCTATAAAGCCCTCCAATATTAACTAGAAGGTATCTCTTCAAGGGATAAGTTCGCCTGTGTACTTAGTCTACTTTTACTATTGTACATAGTACTTTCTTTATTACCTTATGTCCTATATGACCTATATGTCAATAAAACTTACATATACAAACAAACAAATCTGGATATCACTATATTATCAGCTACTTTCGTGTGACGGTGGTTCCCTCTGACGTCAGCAATATCTAAGCCGCTCTCTCTATGTGATGATCTCTCTGCCTCTAATGTGACTTATTAATATTTACTTTACACTTTGTGTAAATGATTAAAACATGATTTTGATATATTTTGAGGCACGACATACATATCTAAATATGAATAATCTAGTACTTACCCGCAACTTCGCCCTTATTGACATAGATTAAGATTAAATCCCCTTCATGCTTCTCCATACGAAACATTTCCTGTATATCAAATTTTATATGGAGTAGTTAATGTAAGAATCGTAAAATAATGTAACATTATAGGTTTTTACTTGTTATTGTAACTGTCATTATGATATAGATGTTCTTATTGTGAGCCGGTCGATATTAATTACAAATAAACCGCAGTTTGTCATTGTCGTAATTACTCATTGGTACGTAGGTACAGTATACCTTGCATAGGTTATAGAACGTGCTTCATTATTTAGTATATAAACTTATAAAATATATAATACCAGAGGGAGAGTTTGTACAAAAGTCGATTGCTTGGGTACCTCTGTCCCATTCGTGTTTCTACCGTGAAGCAGTTGTGTTTGCATAGCTGTGTTTCGGTTTGAAGGGTGGGATATTGTGTGAATTTACAGGGTACAGAGGAATAACACCTGAATCCTCAGGAATGGCAACCCATGGGGTTATCATGGGCGAAACAGTATACTCTGTTCTGTCCATGGTACTGCTCATGTCTATAGGAGACGGTTACCACTTTCCATCAGGTGGGCCGTCTCTTGTTTGCCATTCTAAGTTGCATAAAAAAAATAAAAAAAAGGAACTAACAACCATATCGACAAAGTTATCTCTGGATAACATAGATTAGGAGTAATTTCTACGTTGAGCAAAATCTAAAACAAATAGAAAATGAAATAGGAACTGTTAAATTAAAACCCATTACTCTCCGAACATCTGTCTTCCTTTATTAACGAGTATAAATTCTATTTTTAAATTAATAACTGGTTTAAAAATAAAATATTTTTTAAAAAGAGAATATCCATTTTAATTTTGTTTTTTTTTTTTCGCTGAACGTTTCAATACGAATTAACATTTTATTTCTATTTTTTTTATTTTTTTTATAATTTACAGCTGGAGGTACTGGCGTTTACTGCGACAATGTAAAATGCAACTCGCACGAGGTCTGCAAACGGGACCCTGTCACCAAGAGGAACAAGTGTAGTCGTGCTTAAACAACGACAATTATTATAACTAGTATTTACACAGTACTGTTTGAAAATTAAATTATTAGTACTCTTTTAAGGTCTAATAGGGGAACTGAATGTTATTCCCGAAGAAATATATATTGCAAAAAGACAAATATTTTTTTAATAAAAAAGTCCAACTGTCAAGTTAGTATGGTAAACTCTAACTTTTTTACCATTTTTCGATCTATGCTACTTTATGAAAATACTAAATTTCACTATGTATATAACTTAAAAAAAAACTAATATTTTTTAATTTCACCTGTATATTTCTATGACACTTAGGCATAACTAAGTTTATGTAACTTTATAAAATAAAATATATGCTTTTACATAATTTTGTTTTTAAATTAAAATCGTCTTTTTAAAATAAAAGCATACGGCCCGTCTCATGGTATATAGTTACCATACTATAGGCTACTATGCACGTCTGTAATACCAGAATTATTACCAACTCTTAAAAAACCTTACCCTTTTTGAAGAACCCCATGTCTATAGGAAAAGTCTCGACAGGATGGTCATTCTACAACTTGAGCGTTCGCGGGAGAAGCTTCTCTGATACCGCACTGAGCGTGACTATGAATTCCCTGTCGATGACGAGCAGTACGATGATTAATGAGGACTGTGGGCATCATTTTGAGCAATTATTTAGAGTTTGCAGAAGATAATTAACAACTAGAACGATGGTATTGAAAAAACTTGACTACATTGTTCGTCTACTATTTAAATCGGGGGGAATGATTTTTTTTTATTGATTTTTTTTTATTGATTGATTTACTGCCGACGCATTCCAAGTCACTTATTAAAAAAAACTACTCCCATTTATTTTTCTGATTTTGTTCATAGCAAAATTACACGACTATTGTTAAAACTCGAATTTTTCTAGGCGCCATCTTTTCACGCCATTCATTGCACATATAAAGCTTATAAAACAAAAGTTGTCCAACTATACTAAGGAGGGGGAAATAGGATTATTGGTAATGAAGATCTAACAGCCCCATTGCTAATAATGCACCCTACCAGGTCGACCTCCACGCGGTTTCCCCTGAAAACCGTCTTGGTTAATTCTTTATGAATTTGTCATGAAGGGCCAACTGACCTGTTTCATCCTCACCTGTCACCTCTTACTGGTGTTCCACCCATGCACATGTGCGTATACCCATAGAGCAGACAAGGAAAAAAAAACTATACTAAACATAAGTTCATAAAAAACATGAATATGTAAGTAACAGAAGAAAAATATTATATAAAATAAAAAGAACATGATATGTAAAAATGAAATCTTTTTTATTGTTTTATACGAAGAAGACGGCAAACAAGTATACAGCCCTTTACGCACTTTACGCGACTATCTAGTTTCTAACGTGTGAGAATGAATTGAATGCCTGTCGATGGCGAACGATGCGATGATAAAAGTTGAATGTGGGCATTATTTCGAACCTCATTACACAATCAAATTTTTACTCATAGGGTTACCTATCTAGGAAAAAATTTACACCGACTTTTCTGTTTTAACAATATACCAATCAATAAAAAACCTCCACTTGAGTTATCGTTATACAATAGTGATGTCAAAACGAAGAATTTCCTTAAATTTTGTCTGTCTGTGTTTGTTCTGGCATGCAAAAACTACTGTATCAAATTGGATGAGGTTTTCTCAGTTGTGTTCGTAAAGGTCTAATCTAGTTTAGCGTATTTTATTTAACCGGATTAAAAGGTAATATTATGTTATGAAATAATACAGCAATACCTCGTACTTCCGCGATAGGTAGGACTGAACGAGAACCGTGTAAGTCGAATTCGCGTAAGTCGAAGTATATTTTTTAAAGCCTATCTGTGAATTCAAGGCTCCTTTTATGCGTCCATTTTTCGGGATACGTTGGGATATGCACATTAGCCTAACAATAATGTAGATAATAATTTCATCCCAATCATCTGGACAAGTGGCGGTCCTCCACCGTGCGTTTTTCAAGGCACATTCTTCCACGCACAACCACTCTTTGGAATCAACTTCCAGCAGCAGTATTTTCGAACCGATACGACAACATGACCTTTAAGAAAAGAGCATATTCCTTTTTAAAAGGCCGGCAGCACACCTGCAATGCTTTTAGTGTTGTGGGTGATCATGGGCACGGCAGTCACTTGCCATCAGGTGAGCCGCATGCTCGTTTGCCCCCTGTGTTGTAAAAAAAAAGATAAAGTGTGAGTATTGTAAAAAATTTGTGTAACGTTCAAATAATAAAATCGACGAGATTTGAAGATCGCGTAAGTTGGGAAAACGTAAGTCGAGAAATTATATTACTGTATTCATAAGTAGGTATGAAGAGTAATAGAATTATTATATTATTAGTCACAGGAGTTAATTACGGAAATTATGAAAATATAATGTAAAAAAATCCCTAATGTAGCAACAATAGAAAGAGTTATACAAGTGAAACGAGATGGCAATATGGTCTGAACATCAGTGAAGACCGGTCGTGTCTTTGTGAAAACACCGAGGAAATCGAATATGGGTGAGTCAAGATTGGAGTTTATTACTTGTTTCCTTTTTCAGACACGCGCCGCCATTGTTAATGATTATGAAACTGAATGTTCTAATGTAAGATTACTTAAACGTAGATTTTATCGTAGGAATTAGGTAATACAGCCCGTTAATATGTATTATGATCTAGACTGTGGCGGAATCATAACTAGTTTTAAACGAATTAAAAAGAAATAAAATATGTATTAGATTATTTAAAATTTAGATTGCTTTGAATTTTATCGCTAGCTATTAATAGAAAATGTTGCTAGGTATTAATTTTTTTATGCAACTTAAAATGGCAAACAAGCTGACTGCTCACCTGATGGTAAATGGTAACCGTTGCCTATAGACATGAACTGGTCCATGAGCATAATAGAATATACTGTTACTGTATTTATATGTAAATGCAGTAGAATGGAGTCTTTATGCAAGTTAAATAATTAAGGATTGCGCCCCAAAAAAAAGCTGACTTCAATTGTGATAATTTTTGAAAATTTTATTTAATTTTTAATAACTAAACTACTGAATCGACTTTTATAAAATTTCTAATGTAACCAATCTATAAGTAAATCCTTTCAGATAAAAAAATTCCAAATCGGTTTAGAACTGACGGAGTTATGAGGTAACGTACATAAAAAAATAATCGAATTGTAAAAATTCTTCTTTTTTAAGTCGGTTAAAAACAAATACATTTAATACTTAGGTACATAAATATATTGACGCGTAATTATACATATCTATTGTAATAATACATCCTCGCTTTAAAATTATTCCTAATGACTCATGGATAGTTAGCACTAATTTTACAGTCCTTCCACACTACTCCAATTGTTCATGTTGATTGTAACGATAATTGCTTAATATACTGAAGTACCGTATTTAGTAGGCTTGGGTAATATCGCTTTATTACAATATTGAATCGGTACTTATGATTTTACTTAAATATCAGATATTGTAACTGTATATTTAGGTATATGGTACAGCCGAAAAACAGGTCTACGGTGAGTGCCAAACAATTTTGAGATGAGCGCAACTTACCCAACCCCTCTTATATTTAATTTACTTTTAATTTTATTTAATTTTAACAGGTTTTACCTTATTTATAGCGTACATAGCAATGTGGTCCCGGCATAAAATAGGCTACCCTTTCCGTGGGTGTTGTAAAAGATTACTAAAGGTTAGGGAGGGCGAAGGACGGGCAACAATGCCCCTCGATATTCAATTTTTTGTTCTATGTAATTTCACGTGTCTTTCTTTCTTCTAAACTGACGAAATCCTATACAAACTTTCAACTTCATTTTACCTCCCCTAAGGGTTGAATATAAAATTTTTTTATTCTTATTATTTATCTACGTTATATAAAGAACCTATCGGCAAAATTTTAAGATTCTAGATTCAGTGGTTGCAACTATGCGGTGATATATAGATGGTTTCTTCTCGTATCTGTGTTGATTTCTTTTAATGTAGTCCTACGATCTATAAGTCGAGTATGCTCTTTTATAATTCTATTTTGCAAAAATATCTTTTTTCGTAACAACTGCGTTTCTATGAATGCAATAGCTTTCCACGTTCCTAGACTGAAGTAGCATGGTCTTTCTTATTTTTATACTAATACAAGTACAGTGTAGTGTTCATGTAAATAAAAATCTGTATTAATTAATCGAAATTTGTTTTTTTTAGGTTACATTACAATTTTCTTCTGCATCGTAGTAACTTTAACTGTGACGATGACTGTTACGGATGCTGGTAAGAAATAAATTGGGTGAAATTTAAAATATTTTTTTTTATACAACTTAGAATGGCAAACAAGCTGACGGCCCACCTGATGGAAAGTGGTAACCGTCGCCTTACACATGAGCAGTACCATGGACATAACAGTGTATACTGTTTCGCCCATGCGTTGTCATTCCTGAGGACTCAGATGTTATTCCTCTGTACCCAGTAAATTCACGCTATATCCCACCCTTCAAACTGAAACACAGCCATGCAAACAACTGCTTCACGGTTGAAACACGAATGGGACAGAGGTACCCAAGCAATCGACTTTTGTACGAAGTCTCCCTCTGGTGATTACTACATACTTATGAAATCTAACTTTTTGACCAAAGAAACATGGATCGAGAAATAATAATTTGGAGCTACATTGGAGACTACCTTTACAGCAAGGCCTCTAGTAAATACTAATACGTACTATGTTCGCAACTTTATCCACGTGATCGGATCTTTAATTGGATAGATAAGCTATATAATAGCCTATTTCATATAAGAACTTCCTTTAATTTCATGATTATCAGTCTAGGCATTACAGCTCTAACAGGTAATAAATAACCAATCTTATTTACCATTACTAATCAAAATTTTATAGAGTCCAGGTCTAAAAAGGCAGACAGTAAAATATGCCATCCCAAAATATCTAGATAAAAAATGCACATTTTATAAAATGTTCAGTTGCTAAAATGACTGATTTGTAAAACGACCAATTTACCTTAAAATTATCTGGAATCTGAGTAAATGTTTCTATATGGACGCAAATGCCCCCTTGTGGGTTCAGGACCTTCACGGGAATAGTAGTTTATCCTTAAAAAATAAAGTGTTAGAAATAATTTATCATTGAGATAACGTAAAGAGAGTGGGGTTAGTTTAAAAAATATAGTCTGAAAAGGTAGATGGTAAGTAACAAAAAAAAGTATGATCTAGAAGGTTGAAAAAATATGATTTAGATAACTAGATGCATGTTTTGTTTATGCAGCGAACGGTAGATGTCCCCCACCGTCCAAGGTGTACGGCTGTACACCTAGGTGCCATGAGGACTACGAGTGCAAGTACGGCAAGATCTGTTGCCCCAACTCATGCAACACCAAGTCCTGCTCGGAACCAGCGCCCTACTCTAGCAGTACTGGGAGCAAATGTAAGTAACGTTATGAAAAGGTTTTTTTTCCTTTAAAAATATATTCGTTGCTTCCTTTAATACTGATCTAATAGTTAAAGTAGAGGCATCGGCTGTTATATTAACTAAATCATTAATTAATGTATAGTTGGAACCATCCTTCCAATGGTTAAAAAAAATTTTTTTTCTTTAAAAAATAAATTTTTATTTTTCTCTTATTCACTGAGGCAAAGGAAATATTGTTAACGATAGGAGTGAAGATCTTTGTTTAAAATTCACTCAAGCTGAAAAGGAAAAAGGTAACAGACTTACCAAAGGAAAACTTAATACAAAACTCAAGGATACCTCTATCCCAGATATATAGAAACATCTGGGATAGCGCTTTGTTTTCAGGTACGTTTTGGTTTGAAAAGTAGATTAGCCTAGTGTATGCCAGCAAAATTATAGGCTACAAGAGAAAGCATAGTACTTTAGTTTTCAAAAATGGCCTTATATGAAGGGTACTACCATTTTGCATTAGAGTAAATTTTATAATATCCATACAACTTTTCCTATCTATCGGCGATGGTTGCTATTTACCATCAGATGTGCTATTAACTTGTTTGTCATTTCATGTTTTATATAATAAAAAACAATGGCTACACTGAACTAGAACCTCTGACTACCATATAAGATAGTGATTACCACCTTATTTATTTATATTTTTTAATATAATCAATATTTTTAATATGTTTTAAGATGGTGGACCCGGAGTCTACTGTGACGGCGTCAAATGCAAACCTAATGAAGTGTGCAAACCAAATCGCATTACGAAGAGATTGAGATGTCAACATCCTTGAAACTCGTGAAAACTTTGTAATAAAAAAATTTACTTTGCATGCCAGTACGTTTTTAATATAATAATATTTGAAAAGAGAATCTATTAAAATCGACGATGTCACCACGTACTAAAGTCACCATTATTTGTTAAATAAAACAATTTCAGAAAACTGATATAATATAGTTTTTCATTTTATAACAATTGACTGAGATAAAAGTAGCATATGTGCTTCTCTACCCTCATTGAAATATAAATTTCATGGCAAATGTTTGAAACGTCAAAACGTCAAAAGGTTAATAAACCATACCATTTTTCAAATTTAATTAAAATTTTTTAGAAAACAATAAACAAGTTAATGAAAATATACAAGAAGAAAATACAATAAATAGATTATAGCATAAATATAATAATTTTTGTATTTTTTATTTGTATTTATTTTTGTATAAATAACATAGGGAACTATTCTATAATTTTCTGTCCGTCTTGGATATGGTACAAGGGGAACATGACACATTTCTATATTTACTAGTTAACCCCAAATTTATATTGTACCTATAATCTAAGATTATAACGTTGAAGTACTTTTTAAAGAAATAAACATATTTTCATAATTTCATTTTCACATTTATTAAGGAAGTAAAGATGTAAAAGTAAATCTAATATTGTAATGCGATGATAATAATTAATAATTATATATATATATATATATATATATATATATATATATATATATATATATATATATATATAGTACAGGAGATGCATTATACACCGGTCATGCAAAGATCTCGCGGGCACATACCGATGAGCTCCGGAACAGACTTGTGTCTGAAATCGAAACTTCACTCGATAAAGTTTCGATCTGGGGTGAACGCAATCTTGTTCACTTTAACCCTAAGAAGACACAAGTCTGCGCGTTCACCGCAAAAAAGACACCGTTTGTCGTATCACCTCACTTTCAGGGCACTTCCCTTGATAATAAGTCGAGTCTGGGGATTCTTGGCGTCGATATATCTAGCGACGTCCAGTTTTGCGGTCATCTGGAGGAAAAAGCTAAGATAGCTTCCAAAAAGTTGGGGGTGCTCAATAGAGTGAGACGGTATTTCACGCCAGAAAACCGCCTGAAACTGTATAAAGCTCAAGTGAGGCCACACATGGAATACTGTTCTCACCTGTGGGCAGGAGCGCCACAGTACCAACTCCTTCCGTTAGACCGCATTCAAAGTCGGGCAGCTCGAATTGTTGACGATCGGCGTCTTACTGTCCGGCTCGACCCACTGAAACTGCGTAGAGATGTTGCATCTCTGTGCATCTTCTACCGAATTTATCATGGGGAGTGCTCTGAAGAATTGTTCGGATTGATACCTGCTGCAGATTTTCACCATCGTACAACCCGCCATAAACTAAAATTTCATCCCAACCATCTGGACGAGTGGCGGTCCTCCACCGTGCGTTTTTCAAGGCACTTTCTTCCTCGCACAACCACTCTTTGGAATCAACTTCCAGCAGCAGTATTTCCGAACCGATACGACAACGTAACCTTCAAGAAAAGAGCATATTCCTTTTTAAAAGGCCGGCAGCACACCTGCAATGCCGTAGGTGTTGTGGGTGACCATGGGCGGCGGTAGTCACTTACCATCAGGTGAGCCGCATGCTCGTTTGCCCCCTGTGTTGTAAAAATATATATATATATATATATATATATATATATATATATATATATATATATATATATATAGGTATATTATATATAACGCAATATATATAAGTATAAATTATAATTTACCCAAATTCAATACCTTCAATAGAGCAACGCGACCTATAAATCTTTTTCCTGTATATGTACAAGTAGAGTCAACAAATTAGGTACAATTATTATTATTGTGTCATTGATTATTGTATTAAACAGTCATCGCCATTATTGTGTAAGCTATCGCTTATTAATTTAATTACAAAAAAAATATGAGACTGCTCTTGAAATTGTATTTTCCTTGAGTTGATGCAACCAATGTTATTCATTATTTACGAGTAATAAATCCATTTTTCCTATTAAGCTTATGCTCAATTGCTTCCCTATTGTCTGATAAATTATCTGTTTTTATTTCTGGCATGTTAAATTAGTAATTCAAAACATGAAATACTATTCTTATCTCTGGGCGGGAGGCACCATACTACTAGCTTATTCCATTATACGTCATTCGACGTCGGTGTCTCGGATTATTGATGATCAGCGTAGAGACGCTGCATCTTTTATCGAATATATTGTAGGGAGTATTCTGAAGAATTGTTCGATTTGAAAACTACTGCTAAATTTCTTAATCATACAATCCGCTACAAACTAAAGTTCTAACTCACCATCTGGATGATTGGCGGTCTTCCATCGTCTTTCAAAGCTCTTTCTTCTACACACAACCACTCTTTAGAATCAAGTTCCAGTATTTATAAATTCATAAGACATATCCCTTTTTAAAACGCCGGAAATATTCTGCAATTCTTCCGATATTGCAGGTGCTCATGTAAGCTGCATATTCGTTTGCCTCTTGTTTTATAAAAAATATACACAATTATAACACTATAGATATTGGATAAGGAAAATACAGATGTCAGATTCCTGAAAAAGATAATGTAACAATGACCTAGAAATTAAGCCATAATAGTTCTTACCTTATTTATAAAGGAAAAACTAATAAAAATAATCCTAAAACCAACCAACATCCTCCTCATATCTCTATTTATATTCAAACTCATGTAAGTGTATTACTAGTACGTAGTACTTTATCATTATTACCACTTATTACTTGAGTTTACGATGTAGACTTCATCATCACTTAGCATCGAGATAGATTGTGGTCAAATCACTTTAACCGCAAATTTAATATTTAAAAAATCATCTACGCTTTGGAGACACTCTATCTAAAACACTCAGTGTAACTTTATTTTTTTTTACTCCAGGCTCAGTTATGCTGACTGTACTGTATCCAATAGTTAGTATAGTCGATAACTTCTCAAACTGGTTAGTAAATAACTAGTAAGGCTTTCACCCTCGGCGCGTAGCAGCCGCTGCGCTGCGCCCTCCCAATAAAACAAATCACGCGATATTACAATGATATAGGTAAACAGAACGTTACGGCATTTTATTAATCTACATGTTCGATTTTTAAAAAGTTTATTTTATTTTTAGTCTGTTGTTTTTGGAAAGTGATTTATGAGTTTTTGTTAATAAATTATAAAAAGTTCGTGTTGCAACTATATGCCATTAATTTAATTTTAAAATTTCATTATTTAAAAAAAATATCTACTAGAGTCAAATATCTGATTATGTACCATGTACTAGGTACTTACCTGTTCGATTTGTCAAATGTTCAAGAGATTCTATGGTTGGGAGAAATTGAAAATTAAATAAATCGCAATTCAATTTAAATTAAATTTCTAATAAAGTGGAAACTGTTGGTTTATTTATATATTTATTTACTCAACAAATAATACAACATACGCAGATATTGGAATATAAAGTTATTGGACATTAGTCATTTATTCAAAAAACAATATACATTGTGTCTGAAATAAGGTATAATCATACAAAAAATTATCAAATTGAATTGAATACTACAATTATCGAAAAACAACAATAAAAATATTTTACAATCAACAATGTCAATTTGATCCATAATATATACGTCAAATTTATTTTTTAATTCTGGTCTTTACGTTATTTCACCAGTACAAAAGTAATTAACAGAGTAATGGCAATTTTTCCAATAAAAGATTTCGTGATTTAATTTTTTTTAAATTGAGTTTTTGTACAATTTCCAACTGTGCAGGTAATATTTTAAATAACACCACTGTCTACTCGGATACGTATTTTAATACACTGTATTGAATATAAAATAAATAAAATTCATTATCTTGAATTGTTTTTTAAAAATTAAGTAATAATTTTAGATTGTGTTCTATAAAAATTAAAAAAAAAAAACCTACTTCAATTGTGATAGTATTTAATTTTGAATTTTAAATCAAACTATACTTTATATAATCACTAGCTGACTCGGCAAACGTTGTTTTACCATATATGTACATTATTTCGAGAACTATGCTTATATTCGATTGCCACCTTGCAACTCTATTGCGGCATATAAAAATCGCGATTAAAAAACGGGTTGATCGTAAAAGCGTGAAAATTTGAATTTGCATGTATTTTTCAATGCCAAATCATATTTAAATAAAAATAAAAAAATTTGTCGAAGAAATAAAAAAAAATGTAGGGTCGGGTCACCCTTATCATTGAGGGGTGTGAAAAATAGATGTTGGCCGATTCTCAGACCTACCCAATATGCACTTAAAATTTCATAAAAATCGCTAAAGCCGTTTCGGAGGAGTTTGGTAACAAACACCGCGACACGAGAATTTTATATATATTAGATTGATTATATATCAAACTAAACGATACTACTGAATTTATATGATAAAATTTATATAAGACCAATCTGAAAGGATACCCTTCCAGATATAAAAAAAAGAATTGTCTAAATCGGTTTATAACTGACGGAGATATGACGTAACAAATATAAAAAAAAAACCATCGAATTGAGAACCTTTTTCTTTTTTTAAATCTTTTGAAAATAAGTATATATGTGCTTAATAATTTGAATACTATAAAACAACTATTTTTAATTAAATTATTTAATTAAGTAGTACCTATAGTTACTTATAATTTAATCAGTGCTTACATATAATTTTATCTCAATTTAATGGCTTTAACATAAAATTAATAATACCGAATATAAATTATTCAAACTTTTACCAAGTTAAATATTAAAAATAGTAATTCAAAACGACATAGGTGCCTACTTACCTATTCAGTAGACAGAATTGTTTAGTATTTCAAACTATTTTTAACCATCATTTCTCATAGCCTTCGCCAATAAATACAATATATAGTCACTTACCGTTTATAAGTAGAAAGTTATTAAGTAGGTACAAGGTAATTTTAGGTAGTTTTCACGGATATAAAATGGACACGTGAAATCCTAGACGGGTGTTCTATCAGAATAGACCCTTGATAATTGCCACAAGAATTTCGATAGATACGTTTTCGTTAGCACTCACATAAAAAAAAAGAACACGCTTGCTGCCTCGTACTATCGTGCATGCGACAGCGATAATGTGTCTATCG